CACAAACAGAAAAGTCATGATTTTAAACAGCTGTAACTCATAAACACAGCAACATTTTGAATATATATATTTTGAATATAGTAGTAGCAATCTATAAAACCTTGTATGTAAATAAAACAATTTGTAAATTATTTGCCTGCTGTGACTTGCATGAAGATTGTGTGAAAAGGATAAACTCAATTATGCAAGCTTTCCACTTGGTTAGAATAAGTTGTCAATATTCAAAGAACATGAGAGTTTGCTTTTGGGCTTTTTGAGAAGTTCTCATTTTTGCAGTAAAATTTTGTATGATAGCAAAAAAATGTCAGAGTTAAAAACACAGTAAGAAGCTTCATGCTTGATGTGTCATTTTATTCTTTTGTGCAGAAATTGAATGTAAGGGTCCATACTTTTAGTCAGTGATGTCAACAAAACTGACATATAAATGAAAAACTACACCTGAGGTTTTTTGTGCATTTGACAAGATATAATGGAATTGTTTGCAAAGTTTTATTGAAGTTCCTGCTTCCATTTATCTTTGTTAGCATAGCTACAGAAATCTGCTTTATAATATTCCTGTATAAATTAAACTAACTATAACAGAATTGGACAAGGAGAGGAAAAGAAAATAGTGTATTGTAAACTCAAGTAAAAATGGTTTGTCAGAAAATATTTGTAGATTATTACTTTGATTTTTGCAACAATTAGAATTGGTTTATTTAACACTGCCTGAAACAATGCCTAAAACTTGCAAGAACCTCTGATCAAGGATGTTGAATAATTTGCTTTCTTTCTTTTATCAAGAGGGGAATTTCCAAGCATTAGTCAATTTTAACCCAAATGCTTCTTCATAACTACTGGCAGGATAGATTAGTATTCCTAAATGGTTTTTTTGTTTTTTGCTTTTGTTATATGATGCATGATCAAAAACTGAAGAACAGTTTAAACTGTTTGCTTAATGAGCCACTAAGTTCTTACAAGATGCTAAGCACTAATTCTCAGTTCACTGCAATGTTTAGCTTGTGCATAAAGGTAAACACATGATAGGCCTCCAAAGTAAATTAAAATAAAATACTTCCATCCATATTTTCCCTCCAAATAATCTAACTGGAAATTATCAGGACTGAAAGTCCTACCAGGAATTCAATTATATTTTCATATCTATATTTTATATCAATTTTTATAGGACTCCAAAAGTTCCTGTGACCTTGCAGCTTCAAAAATACCATAAAACAGGAAATTCTTGATAATAGTGATTTTACTGTGTAAGTACAGCAAAAATAGCCAGAAGAAAAAAAATCTTGGAGAATTATAAAGGTTTTCTAAGAAGTAGGAAACTAATTGTTTCTGTTCACTTGAAGTCTAACGATAAGAATATTTATGTAGCTGCCTTTCAAAATGACACAAACAAAATGATACAGTAAAACAGAATATCCAAAATGTGCCAGTACATATTAAATAATATGTTTCTAATTAATCTAGAAGGTTAAGACAACTATAGGTGAAAAATTCATTGTAGGAGTGAATTGAACATTCTTTTAAAGAATGAACAGCCTCAATCACTTAACATTTCATACCTCATTACTGACTGCTGTCCATTGGCCTATACCACCTTCTGCCCATTTTTAAACCTCTTAATGCCTGAAGAAAATGACTCATGCCTTGACTCCAGAAATTAGACTAAAATATTTAATTAAATGAAATTAGCTTAAAATACATTTAATATTTGTTTCACTCTTTTTGTGAAAATTGACTTCTTTACCCTTATTTGAAAATCATGCAATGGTGTGGGTTACTCATCACTAGACCCTATAGTGTGGATAAGACCTTACCTAAATGTCAGGAAAGCCAAAAGAAGTTGGGCAAAACATAATCAATACTCCAGAAATAAACCACAATATTTTTTCAAGATGAATGTTTTAATGATTCACTTTGTCCTGCCAGTGTCAAACTAGATAAAAAATACCTGTGTTAAAGAAAATCAAAATGTATATTGTCTAAGCCAAAGAGTTTTAAAATTTTACTAAAAATATTAGCTAAACATATTTGATTGTTTTGTAATCCTGCTTTAATTTTCAAGACATTTATTATTTCCCTTAGATTAAGTCTTCCTGTTGATGTTAATAGAATGTGCTAAATCCTATCATGAAAATAAAGCAAAAAATTCAGGAAATATTCATAAACACAAAACCACAGCAAAAAGGGTATTAAAAATATTTCATAATTTCTCCACAGTCATTCTAGTCCTGCAGTCTGGCTACATCACTGATAGTAAAAAGAAGTATTTTCAGAATATAAGCACAGATCTTTATCCCTTTATCTTTCTTTAAATATATCAGAAGTAAAATTTTTTTTTTCTTCTCCTTCCTGTGATTTCCACAGTAGTTACTGTTTTTAAAAATGGATCAGAATGAATTCATCACTGGAAAAGCTTTTGGTAACAGTACTAAAAATTCCCTGTACTTGCTCTCCCTTACTGTTGGTATAGACCTGTCATGTGTTGAAACAATCCTGGTTACTGGAAACTCAGTTCCTTTGTAGCCAAAGGGAATTTTTCCACAAGCTTTCACAAGGCCAAAATTCCACCTTATAAGTTAAATAAAACATTTATCAAATCCTTTAGAAATTTCAACTGATTCTCATGCTTTTGGGGTCCTGAAAATGCCAGAATGTGCACAGCAGGAATTCAACTCTATTAGAAAGAACTTGAATCTGTTTACTTTTACAAAACGCCAGATATATCTGAATTTTCTTTTAGGTGTCTGCTTCTTCTGATTGCTATTGTCTCCTGTTGTGCTATGCTTTTCTTCAGAACACACTTGCTAGTGAATAACTTTAGTATTTGAATATCAACTTGACATGAGCTTTGTATTTCAAGACACATTTTCTATAAAATTTATAAGTGTGTTCATCAAGACAGCAGTGTTCCATTGCAGGGGATAACTCATTATTATGTGCACAAATAATGTATAAAAGATTTATCTGAGGGTTGATATATCCAGTTGGGAGTCTGGAGAAACGAAATTTCTCCTGCTGTGAGACACAGAGCAAAGCAACTCAGACACTGTTTGCAATCTGAAATGGGTTGCTGTGCTGGTTGTCCACCCAGCTTGCCTAAATTTTTTGAGTGATTGTACTCCTATGGGTGCATTTGCTACAGTCACACATGCTGCAGAGGCAGGAAAAAGAAAGGAAAAAGAAATGCCTCAGATTTGTTACAGTGATAAGCCTGATGCTTTAGATTGGTACACTTTCTAATATCACTTTTCATCCACTTACTACCCTATTTCAGACTGCAGCAATGGCTATGCTAACTAGTCCTTCTCCTCAAAGTTTGTTCACAATCATGAGCAGATATGAAAATTATTTAAAATTATTTTCATGTTCCTCTGTGTTGGTATCAAATGATTCCTAACACATGCTAGATGCGTATTTCCTCTTCAAAAACTTCTATTCAATAAAATGCAATGTAATATAAAGCAGGATTTTTTTAACTGTATTTGTTATTGACATCAAAATTATACTTCTAAAGATGATACCCATCATCTAGCCCATGCATCATTGTTAAAATCATAACTTATGTTTCAGGTCTGTGCAAATTGTCTATTATGCAAGTTGTATCTCACAACACAATAATTCTTTGTACTTAAAGATCACTCAGAAATTTCCTTGTTAATATATAAATAATTAGAATTTTGCTTTTAAGTGCAATGCTTGTTAATAAATTAAATATAGGTTTTAATAGATTAATTGTTCAAAGTTAAATTTTGTCTTTAGGAAAATTGTCTCTGTGGCAATTGGTGTCACTAGCAACAAACCAAAAAGCTACTTTGAGCAGTTTTCATTTGAAGTAAGTTTGTTTCTGAAGCTATTACTATCAGATTTATTTAAAATACAGGCCACTGAATTTATAATTTATTCTTTAACAAACTGCTACTTAAAGCTTTTTCTTCCCATTACTAAGAGTGTTACTGAATCTTTTGCTTTCATTGTTGTTATTTTTATAGCATTTTAGCTGACCAATCAAATTACAGCATAACACCACCCACAACTTTGGCAATACAGTGGGGAATCTAGTCTGACTGAGTAGAGATTTAGTCTCTGAACCCTGTGATTCCCATTATCTTATTTTCGTTGGCATTAGGCAAAATGTACCTCTCAGTAAAACTAATTCAAGCAATTGGGAATTGAATATTTGCCAGTATTTTATTTCAGTTTACAGTCACTGATACAAGTAATTGTGCTAGAGATACTACTTCCATTTTCTCCAAAACCTTTGGCAAGATTATCATCACCTTTATTGATACCAAAAGCTAAGTTTTAGCTTTTTTATAATGGGGTGCATGAAAGATTAAAGACAATTTGCAGGATAACTCGTATTATTGTCTGAAGCACTAAAACTTCAACAAAAATTGAGTATTATATTTAACAGGGAAAATCCTTTTAGCTCTCTCTTTCAGCACTTTACTTGGAGTTCCCATTAACCTTAACAGTGTCATCAGAAAATTTCTGATTGAATGAAATATTCTTCTAACAGAAAAGGCTAGATTTGGATATGATGAATCCCATGAGTAGTGTTAGCAGGTTCAAAAGGTCTGACAGAACTAATACATCAACAGATTCTATACAGCAGAGAGAGTGCCAGATTGGCATACAAAATACAGAGACCTTTGTCAACATTATATCCTCTCCCAACATCTTCCCTTACATTAACATTTTCTTGTCTCTCTCCAAATATTTTCTCTCATTCTTGTCTCTATTAAGAGCCCTGCATAAACCCACCATAAATCCAGAATGTGTCAAAATTCCTGAGAAAAATTTTGTCAAAATTGGGCTTTGCTTTTGCATGCAGACGGCTGCAATGTCAAGCAGACACTTTGTGGGGACTGGGCTAGAAGGTTTCCATAAATTTTCAATAAATGTTTCAAAATTTTATGTGGACCAGTTTCTAGGGGATGAGGCACTTTTTGATTTTGTCTGTAGTGTGAACTGAATTTCAGTTTAATAACTTGAATTGATACCTTAGGAAGATGAATTCAGGAGGCTGGATAAAAGCTGAAATTACTCTTATTTCCTGGAGAGAAAAAAAAAAAAAGGATATTATTAAGAATTAAAATTCCTCATTAGGATGTCATAGAACATAGTAAAGAATTTATGTTTTGTGATGCCTCAGTGGAGAATTAAATTATTTTTTATCAAGGTGCAGAGTTCCAACAACTGAACATACTGAGGCATACTGTCTTAAAGATATATTTTCTCACCTGAAATTCCAAGGTTTTTTCCAGATAGATTTTAAGTGGTTAACAGACATATAGGGGTTACAGTCTGCATTGTCTCTTAGGTGACAATTTTTTTAAAATCCCAGATAGTCAGAAGTATAACTCCACTGTAATTCCTACAGATAGTCTATTTCTTAAGATTGAAACTATTTCTTAAGATTGAAAAAATATTTCAAAGCAAACATCAGAAATAAAAATTCTTTTTCAAATGTGAATCATCCATATCCTTGTGAGAAGAGTCATGAAAAATAAAAAAGTTAAGCTAATTATACTTTTCTCATAAATTACCAGTGAAGAAAAATCTTCCTGAGGGAAGAAAATATTTAAACATAATTTTCAAGCTTGCTTTTATTTCTGTTTTTCTTCAATTCTCTACATCATGTCCTATTTATGATAATGGCACACAAATCTAAACAAGGGCTATTTTCTACTGGTTTTCTGCCACAGCAACAGTGTAGCATGCATATGCCCTCTGATTAATTTGATGTTTTGCATATGTACATAAAGGATTGCCACAATTCTGCCAAATATCACCATACTGAGTATTAGGAATACTTCCCTTTTAAGTTATTTTTCATCCTGATTTTGTCTTCGTTGGCTGAATACTGAGCTGTTATACCACTGCACACAGTACAAGTCAAGATGCCAGAGACAGTGACTGTGACTGTTTTAACCCAGAAGTGGGGGAAAACAGTGCAAGGATTATTACTGAAGTCCCTATTATACCTTCATTAAAAGAAATAACAAGGTTTAGGGCACTCAAACAGAGATAACAACTGAAAAATTTACAAGGTGTTTTATGAAGATTTTATTTCTAAACATTTTTCTCTGCTAACTTTGCCTAGCCTTCTATTGCAAAGATTTTAGTTGTGACCTCCTTTATTTTGTAAGAGATCAAAAATCACATATATTAATGTATTCAGGTGCAAAAAAGTTGTGAAATTTAATTAGGTCCAATTGGTTTAGAAATGGGATACCGAAATGAATGTGATAATGACTGTCATAAGCAAACTTTCCTTTCATACTTTAAAGCACAGTTTTTTCTGTTCTGTCCCCTCCTCTATAACTTTATTTGATTAAGTAGTTCTATTCTGATCTTACTAAAAATAACGAACAATTGAAATTTAGTCTGTGTTAGCATGAGGGGCTTTCAGTCTGCCCCAGGGCAAATTCTGCTCAGTGTCAAGGGCGTAAGTAAAGGCAGAGAATGAGCTCATTTCACGTTCTAGTTCCATGAAAAAATCAAAGTTGTTCAGTAGTTAATATCTTTTCTACCCAAATATCCTATTAATTAAAGAACTGTGCTCTACTCTTTTCCTCCAGGACCCCAAACCTCATAAATTTTGGTTCTTTGGGTTCAAAGTGATCTCAAATTCATTTCTCCCTAATCAGTTAGCTCATTAAGCAACTTTAACCACCTTATGTAACAGCTTTTATTTTAAATAAATTATAATAAGGAATCAATAGTAAAGCAAGCCTGATCAGGAAGAGGATCAAAGCTTTATACACAGATTATTTCTGCATGTCCTTGGAGCGTGATCTCTATGAAATTAAGGGCAGATGCTTAATAGTCTACAAAGTAGTTTTTATATTACAAGTACACAGATACATGACCGGTCTCATGTGCATATGGGTTTTCAAATAGCCACCAAAACTGGTAAAATCTCAAATATGCACAGGTAAAAACTCAAAACACTTCAAGTTACTTAAATATCTTCTGGATGTTCAAATTTGCAATTATTTTGTAAACAATAGCATAAACAAAACACTTCTAACCTTATTTTTCTTAAATAACTGCATTTTTAAATGCTGTATAATCTTTCCTTCATCATTTACATTCTCTAACATGTGATTGAGTAATATAAACTTCCTAATTTTCCGGCACTATATAAAATGAGGTTTCTTTTCTGGGAAATTGGCAATGTTTGTATTTGTTTTAATATTTAATGAATGGCACAAATGTGCCAATTCACCACTTCTTGTATGAAAGCAGTGGGAAAAAACAGGAGGAAAAAAGGTTTGTTTGTAGAAAAAATTTCGCCCAGAACGCAAACAATTCCTGCTGAAAGTTTTACTCTTCTCTGGAGTGCCACTTTCTAAAGTGTGTTGGGGGTGCAGCTTTCATTATCTCAGTGATTTGCAGATAACATCTGCTTTGTGTACAAGTGGAAGGACAGTTTATTCTAGCTGCCAGCTCCACCCAACTTGTGGCCTACAAGTGAAGAAGGCAATGTTTGGTTTGGTCTGATGTTGGCTTGGATTTTTTTAGTCAGGTATCACCACTAATAACATTTCTGCAACTGAAACTTGACTTCTAACTTGGCTGATGAAATGGGAGACAGAATAGAATAAACATCCACAGTCTTCTTTACAGCAAATAAATCTACTAAAGCAACAGATTCAGAATGCTTAGGGGTAAGTATCTTCAGAGGGGAACTGACCCTAGAGGGCTGCAAGAAGTGTTCAGTCCTCATAGCTCCCAGTCTTAGTCACCCTTTCTTCCTTGCAGCACCTGATATTATTTGTCTCTGTCCTCAAAATGAGAAAATAGCTCATGGGAATTGTTTATTTGCTGTACCCAAGTAATCAAGCTTCAGAAACAAATGAATACAACAGAACAAGTGGAAACAGATCAGCTCACTTTTTCTGTAAGTTTATATTTCATTGTCACAGTAAACCCGAGTCTCATCACCTGCTATTTTCAATCATCTAGTGGAGAAAGGGCACTTGCTGTTCAGGCTTTTGATATACACAGGGACTGGAGCTGGTATACACAGGGACAGGAGCTGATATACACAGGGAACTGGTACTCTGATTTTGTTCTGTTATAAAAACTTCCTTTATAATAGTTATAATTTTCATTTGGAGTGCAAGTGTTTTCCATTTTCAAATGTTTCAAACTGATTTTATATGAATGTGTTTAAATTTTTTTATGTGGTTCAAAAATTGACATTTTTAACTTTAGAATAAGAAGATTAAATGCTGTTATCTTAACTGAGCACTGTGGCTAGCCATCACAATTTTTATAATCCTGCACCTTCTGTGTTTCCCTAAATTGTTGGTCCACTCTATAGTTACTGAAAGTCATGTTTAAACATCTCTGGTGTTCAAAACCTCTCTCCAAAGACTGTTTTTTACTCACATATATATACAGAAAGCTATTGCTGCATACATGATGCCAGGAAGTCAGGACAGAGATTTTTCAAATACCATTATAAAGATGCAACTGTTTCCAAGCATCTAATCTAGCATGTCCAGGTCATTCTAAATTATCATCTATGCCATAATAATACTCAGCCCTGAGGCTGATCTGCAATCTTAATTAAAATGTTGTGAAGTCAGTTCACAATAATGGATTAATTATCTGTGGTAGTGTCCCTGAATTTCAGAGAAAGAGACCCACTTCACAATTGGCATGCACTCAGCAGAAGTACATTGATGGTTATCATGGCTGAGCTGACAGCTAAATAGGTTTTATTGCTGCAGGAACCCAGTCAGGCCCAGTTACTGTTGCTCTAAATCCTATGCTTTTATTGTCTCTCTGAACTGTGTTTATGAAGCTTCAGAGAGCTGGTGTTCTTAAAAAGTTCTCAAACAATGTCACCCTGTACAGAAGACTCCCACGGGAACTTAGGATTTTAGATGCACTCAATATCTTTACAAAGCAAGCATGTGTGCATGTTATGGTTGGAGACTTTGAAAATTATTTTTGTTTCATTTCTTAAAGTTTTATTTTACTGAGTGAATCTGGGTAATAGCAGAAAAATAATTTCTAAATATGATATTTATTACTCTGCAAACATCAGTTTTCAGATCAACATCTGGGGAGAGAGACATGGTTGATAGATACAAAACTATCTTCTCACACATATAATTCTGCAAGAAACAAAACTTTCTGAACTTCTGGTAATTAGAATTATAGGTCATAAGAATATTTCCCAAATACTGTCACCAGTATAATGTCTTGTGTACCAGTGTTTCTCCTCCCATATTTATAACTTCTTCTTCCACTTAGCCTCAGTCTCAAAAGTTGCTGCACAACAAAAGTTTATACAGTTTATTAAGGGAAATAGAACACAATAAATGTCTTGATCTGAGTTTGATTAGCCTCCCCTTAAACAGATGGCAAAACCAAGTACCATGTGAGACAGAGCCTTCCTTTACAGAGTTATCCTACTCAATGTTTTACGCACCCGTCACCCAGCGAGGACTGCTGCCTTGCTCTGCTGGGTTGCCTGAGCTCTCTCTCACGTTTCTAGTTCTAGTCCAGGAGAGGCTGGGTTCTCTCTTCCATCCAGACCATTTGGGTTAAAATGCACCCCACTGATCTACATTAGGAATCACATGCCCAGTCTTCATTTTACAATTTTCAGTTTCTTTGCTTGGTGACTTGATATTTTCATAAGGAACTATATTCTTTTATTTACTTCAAGCCTTCTACCATTTAATTATATTTTTGCTCTTATATGACAGAACCACGACAGGAAATTTCTTTGTTTTATTTTTTCATATATGCTTATTTGATCATTCATTTTTCATATACATCCCTGGTTTCCATTCTTTCCTTTCAAAAAAAAAATTGCAGTCCTTTTACATTCCTATTAGTTCTTCAATTCCCTTGAACTTTCTTATTTTGTATGAATACCCTCTATTTAATATTTATTTATTTTTTACAGTGGTAAGAAAATTAATTTTGCATTTAACAAATTATTTACAGGTATTTGGCCTCCTCTATATTCCCAGTTTTAAAGTTTCTTCAATTTTTTTAATACATTGAGCAGATTATTTTTCTGAA